AAATTGTTTTTTATTTAGAGGAAGAAGGTTTCTTTTATTTTTATTATGATGCACACAGACATTCGTGGTTAATTTCGCAGTTTCTCGGCTGATTGCTCGTCCATTTCAAATATAGTCCAGTGTGCGTTGGCTTGCGAGAAACAGAGGTAATTAGTTCATTACTTTTTCTCTCCATCATTACATCTAGGAACGTCCCGGAGTTTATCATCAGTTCCTGGATGTAATGGTGGAGATTAAAAGTAACTCATTATGTATAACATACGATTTATTTTTAGTCATTACACTTCATGTACCACAACAGTGTCTATTATCTATTCCAGTATATCATTAATACATACTCGTCCGTTCAATAATCGATTATTTAAAGAACTGGTCAATCAGATATTTATAAATGTTAAGTAGTTATATTTCCAGTTTACAACATTTGCTAATTTATCTGCATTATTGACTGCACTATCGATTTCATTCCTTAAAAGTAATGTACCATTTCAATCGTGTCATTTTCGAAAGTGGATACATGATTATATACAATTATATCGTTTAGAGATAGATTTAGATTTGGATGATGACAATAATGGGAGTATGTTTTACATTGAAACTGAGAAACAAATTCGATTGTGAAAGCTTCTACTGTACCAAAAAATGTCACTACTATCCGTTCCAAATGGTCAGACCGCTGGTTGCTTTTTGAATAACTTTTGATAGGAATGAGATAGTGACCTGCGATTTTCGCTGTTCAATAGCCAAGACTTGAGCAGAACTTTTCACAAGCGGAAGCAACTTTTCAAAAAATTCCCGAGATCGGGTTTCAGAGGATCTTTGGAAAACCAGCTCCGTTCTCAGAAAACTAACATACAATGTTAGTATTTTTTTTGCATGCGTAGATAGTCTGGACGTTACTCTACAAAATTATGCAACTCCCGGCTCTCTAGCTATCGTCGTTCGGGCAGGGCTTGCTTTCCTCGACCTCGTGTCTATCTCCGAGTAGACATCTCTGGGAATCTCAAAATGCCATGGACTATAGGTAATCGACTACGCTGACCATAGTAGCAACATTTGTTTTTATGTAGAAATGAATATAACTTCGCCAGAGGCATTGTTGTGAAAAAACGGTTTTTCGCCTGTTACTAGCAAAAATTAAAATCCTTATATCTCGATCAAATCTCATGCTGACTCAAGAAAATTTTCAGGAAAGGCTTAAAATGTGCCATATGTTGTTGACTACGCCGAAAAAGTGATCCAGTAGAACACTGATGCTCTGAGGTTTTTCAGAACGTTTCTGGAAAACCTTAAGCCAATGCTCAGCTCACATTCACCTTTTTCGTCTTCGATTATGCTTTATGAGCTGTCCTGAGCGTTTTCTGAAAATTTTCTTGAGTCGGCATGAGATTTGATCGAGATATAAGGATTTTAATTTTTTGCTAGTAACAGGCTCGCGGTAGATCAGCTCGACTCGCCTAGGGAAAACAAAAGCCTGCTGGCGGTTCGACTCGAGCTAGCTAGTGAGCGCCCGTCGGCGAGCCGATTGACTAGCTTGCCCGGACCACACATACAGTACAGTATGAACAGTAGACTAAACTTTATAATTTCAAATTTTGAAAAAATATATTTTCCTTTGCTGTGGATGATAAGTACAAAATATAAGCAAATAAGAGAGTGAAGAAGCGATGAACTCTTTATGTATGAAAAACACTAGTCATCAGAGATCACTCTCTAACACTCCCCGAACAAAATAAATTCAGACTCCAAGTTCAACAAACAACATAAATCAAGAAGAGGTAAAATATATAAATAAAGTCGAAAATGTTGTTCACCAAAACAAAATAAAGCTGTCGTAGTTCTCCTAGTATAAAATGTTCTCTCTACCTTCTCCTTCTCTATAATGAAAGAAAAAAAAGTGTCTTTAGTCTCTGTTGTACCATGATTGAGGTTTTCTGGCTTTTTTTGCCAGAGTTACTTGCTCCACTGCTAATCTTTAAATAGCGGATGTATTAAACCAAGTTTCCACTTATCAGAAAATTACCTTTGTGCAAAACACCATCAGCTACCACTGGATCAGCTTCATAAGACTTTTGACATTATACCTTCGCTGATAGCCTTATTCGGATTTATCTTAACAGATTTATCAACCTCTTGAATGGATAGAATAAAAAGATGTAAATTGGAGCGAATTCATAAGCAACTTATTAGGGAGAATGGCTTTGGCTTAATCAATGATATTCATACTTCAGATATTGGCAACGTGAACAGTTAGAATATCGTCTTTTGCACATCAGCTTTTTCATCTTTTAATGTAAGTTTAACTAACAAGTAGTGTACGACAGAACCGACTCTGAATAACTAAACTTCAGTTCTATGCAGTCAATTAATTTCTAGCACAGTTCAGTCGAAAGAAGTACGGCTGACTTTCCACTAACTTGATGAACAATAATTGAAGGGTGGCTGTAGAATATACAACAAGTAAAGAGTTAGCTATATACGTGTCTGTTCGTTAATATTTCATTTTCCGATAAACTAGTTGGGTTATTATGCAAAGTTCTTCACGAAATCTTTTAGTGCTCAGTATGCATAGATAAAATGTTATACTAGTCGGTAATGAAGTCAATATAACAGCCGACTGATACCATAAATTATCAGTGGCTATTGTTAAGCTCGTTTTGACAAAATTACTGGTTAAAGTCGAGTAGATTCGTTGCGCTGAATGTGGCAAGATTGTAATGGTGAACAATATCACTTGTGTGAGTAACATGATGATTAGTTGAAAATCTCGTTTCCGATAACGAATACTTCTATCCATCGTTGTTGACGATACTGCTTGAATTTGTCGTTGCTGCGCATGTCGAAGATTCTTTAATGTCAATGCACCAAAGATCAACATGATCACAGGTGGAGTTAAATTATAAAATACGAGAAAAAACCAGTCATTAAACACACGACATTGGTCACTTTTCGCATAACATGGGGATGATGCAATCGGCAGGTTTGCCTCGTAACAATAAAGCGCTTGAGAATATGATAAACAAACGATAATACCCAAAATGCATATTGCACGACGCACAGTTTTTGTCGCACAAAATTGTCGTCGACGAGCATCCCGAGAGCTTGATAGATAACGATCAATAGAAGCGAAAACGATGAGCCATGCGAACATCAGTTGTGAAATATAAACAAAATACCATCTTATTTTACAGAGGATAGAAATGCGATTCATTGGATCAATATTATAAGTGAAAAGAAGTCGTGCAAGAAGGGCAGCATACAACTGGACAAGCGCAGCTACAGCTGATGCCATAAAATAGATGCAACAGGAACATTGTCGAAATGTGCGACGAGATAGGATAAGAATAGTCAAAGTATTTCCAATAGTACCAAATAATATGACAGCAATCGGAGCAGTTCGGCTTAGATAAGAAGTAGCATTATTGATAACGGAAGTCAATGGATTTGTTGTTGTTGCGTTTGACATGGTTCCAGTTAGAGAAAAGTCTTTTAACTGTTCTTCCAAACGGGTATCGGAGCTGGTTAAATAAACCGTGAATGTACATTACACTGCAAGTAAAAACTTCAATAGGCTTTTTAATAACCACATCTCACTCAAAAAAAATGATACGCCAATTCTCTTAAATAAAAGCGCTTATTGATACTTTTTTAAACCTCTGGTAAGGAGTCGCTCGCTGACGATCCGGTAGAACACATATTCGCTCACATTGTACTTTATTTAGTCGGTTTCTCACTGATTAGTTTAGGTATGCATCGGTGTCGATTAACAAAATTGCACAATAATACTAATGAGAGGACCTCTCCAGATGTCCAACGCCGTCTTCAATGATCTTTTGCCTATAGATACTACATAGTGTCCTACCACCTACGAAAATGTCTTGAATGTTCGGTTTTTCCGGTGACGGTTTAAACCGAACATCAGTTTTTTCGTGTCAGTTTTTTGACTTGAAACGGAAACCGGTGCATACCTAAGTCAGTTCCTTCAAAAACTTCAATTTCATCCTGTTTCCTCTTAATTCAGACTAGGCATGCAACAACCCCAACCTGGGGCTCGCTGATCGACAGCGAACATGTTCGGTAACAAACCGTTTGGTACCGATTAGTGAGTCCTAGCTTCGGATTGTTGCATGCTTCTAGTACAGATTAAAATAAAAATAACTATCATGTATCCTTCTCCAATTTTTATGCCAGTTTGAAGTACCTTAGTTGTAGTTGGTTGTATTTTGTGTTAGAGTGCAAAATACAGAAGACTTCATAAGCTCTTAATCACTTTATAAGAGACAATTATTTTGACAAGCTTATCAAGAAACTTGAGAAAGAAGAAAAGAATAGTTGCTTCTAATGAAAAGAATTCGTCTATTACTCAAGTATATTAAAAGATCTGGAACACACAAAAAAAGTGTTTGTTCAGAAGTTCAAAGAGAATTTTTGAGAAGAAAACACTCACTCCGAAGACGTTTCCGCAAGTACCCACAGAACTTTCTGCATCGTCTATGTTCTCATTTTCTCACTCGGTATCCGTTAAGCAAACGAAACAGGATGGATAATAATTTATCATTTCAATCTCAAAACAGTATTAGAATTCGTGGTATACAACAGAGAATTTGTAATACATTGTATATAAACCAACTATTATTTTCATTACCGCCTCTACTGGTATATTAGAACAATTCTAGTAAAGTATTTATTGTGTTTGTTTATAGTACAAAATAATGAAGGGAAAATAGTTCTGGGTGGTCCAGTGTCTTAACGAGTTCTACTGACTTGCACTCCATTT